TCCTGATTAGCAGGGAGTTTTTCCTCTCCACCGTTTGCTCAGGATGGGAGACTGTGATGAAGTGATTCAACGCAGCCTGCTGGCTTCTTCTTTAGATTATTCTTTTTATGTACAGTGCCCTGAGACAATGTATGTTGTGAGTTGGCGCTATATAAATAAACTTGAACTTAAAAATGTGTAAACATATGAAAAACAGTGTTGATTTTACAAGTAAAAGTTTGTATTATCCTCTGTTACTGTATATTGTCAGTGAGAGTTGTTCTGCCTCTTTGAATCCTGACTCACATTAGTTGATTTTACCTGTGAAGGTGTAGGTTTAAGGTAGTCTGGTTTGGCTTCATGCAGATCACTGCTGTGGTTTCTGGTCAGTGTGTTTGCTTGTTGAGGTTATTTTCAATTTAAGAATGAATGTTTTAACAAGGTAAATCTTAACACTGTTGATTTCAGTTTTCTGTTTAATGTGGCAGCTCAGTTATACAAAAGATCCTGGTTTAAAATCCTGGATCAGCACCTCCTTCTGTATCAAGCTGATCCAGACTATTGCAGTACCACTGCAAGGATGGCAAAGTTTACCAACAGTTTTATGCTCTGCTTTTGTCCCCATCAAGGTACACCCATTCTGTATGTGGATAATCAGACAGTATCAGGATTTATTGGGGAAAACATCACCATAAACTGTTACTACACCACCTCTGGAGAGATGAAATGGTGTAAGATGAACAGCAACTGTGTGACAGAAAGATCAGGATTAATAGATGGAACAAGAGTAAACCTGAACAACAGTGACAACAGATTCACTGTGACTCTGAGAGAACTGAGTCCAGAGAGCAGTGGTTGGTATTACTGTGTCAAAGGAGACTTCCAGATGCCAGTACACCTAAGTGTTACTGAAAGACCTGCAGGTTAGTGAATACAGATCTCTGTATTACCTTCTCTTTATACGGTATGTAAGAATATGGGCCTGAGGCTGACACTGGCTCTAAATAATCTTATTTGCCATTAACCAATTGTAGGGGTCACCTCGAGTGAAGAAACAGGAATTACTGCCTCAAAGTAGGTCTCGGAGGGCCTGAGAGAAGGCAGGAACACTGAACTCTATTTTAGGCCATGATAGGTCATTTCATCCTACAAGAGAGCTTCAGTTCTCTTAATCAGATATTAGACAGAAACAATCTGTTCTGTTCGTGATTCATTTGTTGTTTAACTAAGAATGTTTATGCACCTGTTAATCATAATAATGAATCAATGAACACAATCAATCACAGTGGCCTAGTGGCTAGTTKTCTTTTTGTCCCAATGTTGCTGTTGTCATTTGTAAAAAGGCACATAAAGAATAAATTCAAATGATCTCAGGAGGAAATGGAAAAAAAATGTAACATAAGAAAATATTACTTTAAAGGGTAATTTTGTGTTTGTTATAAAGCAGATATTTACAACATAAAAGAAGTGAGTGAAGTAGTATGAAACTGCCACAAATAGAAACATATCACAAAATGTACAAGATCATTCACTTTCTGATGAAAACAATCAAACCATTTTCACTGTGACCATAACAGAGTAGAGTGATAATACGGGTGTGTTGTGAAGACGAATACTATAATCTGATGTAAGTTGAACTACATAAAAATTGTTGATTTTTATTTGTATCATGTGCGTTTGTTTTTATTACAACAAAGAAAAATAAGTTTAAAAAACCCTCTACAATCAGTTATTAATAAAATTATTCTCAACTTTACTAATTGGTTCAAAATTGCCTAATTTGTATCTCCCAACTTTATTTTTGTTTGTAAATGATATAATAATCAGATATATTATTTGACATTATTTATGTTCCTCCTCACTTTGCAGGAGATGGGGATGAAGATGAACAACGCAGGTCAGAAATATTCATTATGCTACATTTTATTTTACGGTATTAAATCTAAACTATTTTAAAATACAAATGCAATGGAGACATTCAGACTTTATTCACTTAATTCATGCTTTTACACTTTGTGCTGCAGAGCTTCTGTTCATCGGAGCAGTTTCCTCATCCGTCTGAGCCTGTTGATCTTGTTTGGTATTGTGGTCCTGTTACTTTGGTTAATGTTGAGGTAAGTGTACTTCGTTTTAATGTTAATATAATCTTTTATTTTATTTTATTTATAAATCACTGTATCTTGTTGAATGATTGACAACAGCTTCTTTTGGATTTTGTTTTGTTTTGTAGAGCATGGGAAAAAAAATCAACAACCATAAAATCGGTGAGAAAGGGAAAAAATTCTCTGATGTTTCTTCATATTTATTGAAATGTTCCAATTAATGTTTCATACAGGATTTGTCGACATAAAAAATGTCTCTGTTTCACTGAGTTTAATATTTCACCATAGAAACGATGTAGTTTATAACGTCCATGTTTAAGAAAAGAGATTTTGAAGTGTCATAAAAGTGATGAAGGTTTTAAACAGAGACAGTTCTCAGTCTTATCTTTTTTCCAACCATCGTGTTTTTTCTCCTTCAACAGGATGAAAGAGACGAAGCCGATGTAACATAGAGAGCAGCGACGCCCCAGAAGCAACATGATTAACTTTGGCATCTAATGTTCTTTTTGTGTTACTTCATTTAATCTTTTTTTTTCATTTATCCTGCAATTTTGAAATGTTTCAAAATGTTAGTCTTATATTAAAAAGAAGAACAGTTCAGTAAGACAAATTAATATGTCCTCTAAGTGTTTTGGCCATACAGTATGCTTTGTGTGTATGTTTCTTAAGCAATCAACTTAATGATGAATAATATTGATTTTTTTTAACTTTTTTATTGTAGTTTATATCCGCACTATGAGATTTTTAGTGAGGTTCATTAATGGGGGGAGGGGGGGATTCAGACTGCAGCTGTTGAAGATTGAAGTTTTGATCCTCTGATTGTGTACATTACATTTTTTTGTACAMAATAAAAACTATTTAGGGATTTCCTTGATATTATTGGGAGGCTAATGTTAGAAATAAGATGTGTGATTTAATGGTAATTAAACAAACAAACCAAAAATGCTGAATTTGCATGTTTCTCCAGTTGTTTACCAATCAAATGAAAAGGTATTCAAATCTGTTACACACACACCCACACACAAACACAATTCTTATAATTATGATGACCTAAAGTTTTCTTTATATCATAGCAGATATTTGAATACTGAACACGTGCTGTTTGCTTACACTGACTCAAAATGTATTTAACAATGAACAACATACTTATATAAGCATCTAATAAAGTAAAAAAGTACACTTGCTATTATGACTCATGAGAAT